CAAGTTCCTTGGGTAAGTCTCCCCCCTTGTGCACCCTCTCCCATCTGGCAACAGCCACCCCAAGACCCACTGTGCTTGCCCCGCACCTCCCTGGCCACCCGCGTACCCCCTTGCTCCCACCCGACAGCCACTCACCTGCCTGCCTGCCGGCCTGCCTACAAGCTGCCGGGAACTCACAACTTCCTGTCAGCTTCCCTGCTGACTTTGTTGTTGGAAGTTGGCAGGAAGTTGCAAGGAGGTGCTTGCTTAATGACCATAATCCCTGCTTAACAACAGCAACAGGGACTGCAGGGACTGCCGTTGCTAAGCAATGTGGTCATGTGATGTCGCAATTTACGACTGCATCACTTAGCAATGGAAATCCTGGTCCCAATTGCCATAGTTAACTGAGGACTACCTATATTTAGAGAAATCCAAGACAGGACACCGCAAGAACAAAAGAACAGTAGCTTTGACTGATCAATGCTTCAGCTTTTAAAATGGCCTAAGAGAATTCTGCTGTTGTCCTACAGAAAAACAGCAGCTTCCCTGAGTACTTTCACAATTCTGGAAATGTATTTTGGACTGCTATAGCTGATGGACAACAATAAAAAATGCATCGCAGGGCCAGTATTTACTTAGGTACCACTTTCTTATGTCATTGACTGTTTTCAACTAGGAATTTGACAAAATTACCTTAAATCCAAGAAAAGTGTTATATTGTTCCAGGGTCCACATGTATCAATGACTCTATCCTTACATAATGCTAAGCCAGTGTCCACTGGAGTTGGGCAGCTTAATAAGTTTTAATTAATTCATTAAAATTTATTTTTAACATTTGGTTGAATAAACGTGTTCACTTTGCAGACAAATCCATGGCTTTGTCAGCCAATTCCTGATCTTCAAATCTTCTGCCAATGATATCTCAGACATACTAGCAGCAGTAAAAGGGGCGTTTTATGTTTTGATTATTCATAGCTTGGTGTTTGTATGTTTGTGAGTTGATGATTATTTGTTCTTGTGACATGGATACTGATTTTTTAAAAAAATGTGTTGTCCTAAGGACGGATGTCAAATGTCCATCTCTGTTCCAATCAAGGAGAAATGAGAAGCATGGAGAAGAAAAGAGTGAGAGTGGCTAAACTGAAAGAACAGTGCCTTTTTCAGTAATGTTTGCACTGGACTTTTACAGGCTGGCCAAACCCAAAACAGGAGCAAACCAGTGTTCTGTGTACAGATGACAAATCAGGATTCGTAAACCCAACCATGGCTTCTTACTGGGGTTTGCTGTCTAATATACACTTTGATATTTTCACAAATTAATTCACCATGCAGGCTCTGTAGGACAACTGAGATCTTACATTTTCATTATTGCAAAAAGTTCATATATCCCTTTCATTGTTTCCCTGTTAGTATGCAGTCCATTCAGAAGTGCCGCTTAACACGACTACAGCTTCCTTCTAGGTTATGCTGTAAATGGTAAAAATGTCCCATACCCACATCACCTCGTAGACTAACAATTCTTTAATAGCAAACTTACACAGAATTGTTCACAGTGAACTGAAAATCCAGGGAAGTCGTATTTAATTATAAAATGTATAAAACCTTTGTGACCGTGAGTTGGCCTCATCAAGATAACTGCCTTTTCCCTTCATCCTGTATTAGGTTTACCATGAAGGTTAACTGAGAAGCAAGTCCCACTGATTTTCATAAGCAGCCCAGCCCCTTGGCCTCAATCCTGGTTAGCCCAGAACGGAGCAACCGATAAGCCGCGCTGGCCTGCATCTGTTCGGCCTGTCAACTCCACAAATCTAGCCCCGCGATGGCGGGAAACGGGAGGAAGGAGCAGAGGGGCGGCGACCACTTTGGTCCTTCTGGGAGAGAGGGGCGAATTGAAGTCCTCCACGGGAGGACCTCGGGACCCCTGCACTCTCCCGCTCTTGCCCTTAGCCCTCCCTGTCCCGTGTGCAATTCCGTGCATAATGCAATAGCAACACCATCTCGTGGCCATTTGGTTGCAGCATAGATCTGGCAGGCCGATTATTATTACACGTCCGCTACACGCCTCCGGCCCGTAATCAATCTATTTTTCCTTTCAGGCGGTTGTTGCTGAAATTGTTTCGGTCGATCTAGCCTAATAAACGTGCGGGGGAGGCAGGCCTTTCCTCACACACGGGGAGGGCCAGGGCTGAGATGTGTTCGTCAAGAAGCAGTTTTGAGCTCTAAGCAGAGGTTCTGGCCTGGCACTAACCCACCTTCCGCCTAAGATTTCTGCCCGAGCTGGCTACAGACGCCCCGGAACAGACCGAGGCGCTTGATTTCGGAGAAGCACGTACCCGACCGGGCAGCTCACATGGCTGCAGATGAAGGAACGGAGGCGCGGCTCGCCTGTGGAATGGCGCCTGGGCGTCGATGGAATGTTGCAACAGCCTTCGTGCTGGCCCCCGCACGCTCGGCGCTCTGATTGGTGCATCCGGGAGAGCGAAAAGGAAACGTGTTCTGGGCCGCTCCCGGAAGGGCGCCTTGGAGGTGGACACGTTCCCTCGGAAGGCTCCGGAGCGCTGCAGGTAACCTGGTTGCTGGGGCGGCTTTGGTCGCGGGTCCTTTCCAAAAGGTGCGGGAGGCTTTCTGCCCACAGAGGCTCATGCGCATTACAGCTCTGCCAACAAACCAAACTTAAGCATAGCTTTGATTGTGGGAGGTTGTTGCGAATGAAATTGCTGTGGTTTCCTGTAATCTGCATCTCTAGTTTGCACCATCTCCTGGATGTCCAGAAGGAGACTGGTATGGAGAAGGAAAAGCTAAGTAATCCCCCTGCGTTAGTTCCGTTCTTCTCCGTTTGGTGCCCAAGCAGGGAGGCGGCCTGGGGTGTGCGAGGGGAAAGGAGTCATTGTGAGCAGAAGTGGATAACGAAGTTGCAACACTCTGTTCTGCTATCTGCGCTTTTAAAGGTCTTGTATTATAACCACCCTATCAGTTTCCTGGCTGTGCTGATAGCAGTACTCCAACACACCCGGAAGGCATTTGGCTGGAAAAGGCTAGGATAATGGGTACTTGGGACTGGGAGCCTTGGCCTCAGAACTCATTGGGTAACCTTGAGCCAATCTGCCTCTTTAACTTAACCCACATCCCAGAATTTTGTAGGGTTAAAAGAAGAGAAGTAGTGGAACACACACACACACACACACACACACACACACACAC